TAAGTAATAATTAGCAAATGCACATTGCTGCCACACACCAGCATGCTTTGGGCAGAAGATGCTAAAATGACACTGTACAGTATTTTGTGGTTTGCAAAAAGAGACATAAGAGCTCTTGCTGTGCATGTTTTGATTAAATGAGAGCCTGAAGCAAGCATTAAGGTCAGCTAACTCCAAAGATGAAGCTGATTTTCAAAGTGCTGATAGCAGTCCTAGCAAATCTTCTTGTTTATAGTAAAGCCTCACTGGAGAAAATGAGTAGTGTTGTATACCTCAGTGGACTCACTGTCTCCTTTCGTTCCTACTTCAGGGCTGCAGGTTCCTTTTCACCCCTTGTTTACCCTAAGGCAGCTGCCAAAGCCAGCTCAGTGCCTAGTCCTGCAGGCAAGGTGGGGAGGCACTCACTTGAGTTGTCCACTGAGGCAGTTTAAGGGCATTCATCTGGACTGAATTTCAGCAGCTGTTATCAGCACTTTGCTGTACAGACAAACTGAGGAAAGCATTCACTACGGCGGCAGCAAGGTTGTACATAATTAAAACAGGAATAGAGAGAAGAAAATAAATGGGCTTACAATGAAAGGAGAATAAGCTGCTTGATATGGTTCACTCAGACTCAAAGAACTCAAGGACTCCAAATCTTCATGAACTCTAGTACAGTCTTCCCAATGCATTGGGAAGAGCAGACTTAGTTTTAGTCACATTTGGGAAACAAGCTGGTTTGAAGATGGCTAGATCATGTGAGTAAAGATAATATATGCAGAAGAAACTTAATGCAGCTCTAAGATCATTCATATTCATGCCCTTCTGGGGCATAAGTAGAAAGCTGCTCTTACTGGGTTGGGTAGAACCTGTTCAAATTAAAGGCAGAATACCAGGTACATTTAATCCTAAATAGATGTAAAAAATAAAAAAGTTGTACCTTCAGTACTACAAGGGCAGCACTAGCTTTGTCCTAAGCCACATTCACAGAGTTTGAATAAAAGGTAGTCATGTGCTTAACAAAATGGGACATGAGTAAAGAGGAAGTGAAATAACTTTTGGGATGATGATTGGAGGTACTTCTATGCAACAGCAGCTTCTTGAGCAGGACAAGTAGTGCAGCATCAGACAGATGCTCATTAGCTCTGATGCAGAGCCCAATGGGGGGAACTAACACACAGAAAGTCTTCATTCAATTTGTATTGTGTTCAAAGCAGACAATGCTTGTTACAACAGAGAAATGCACCTAGAAACAGAAGTTTGCATGCTGGGAGCCAATGCTACATTTTCTTAAGATGTGGTAAAGAATTCCCCAGGGGCTTCTGCAATGACATCCTGAACTGAAGGAAGAATCCTAAAACAAAGAACATCAATGGATGAGAGTAATGGGAAAACTCAGATGAGAACACAGTGGATGAATGACTCAACCCAAGAGACTCTACATATTCTTTCAGGAACAATTTAGAAATCCCATACAGCTTTTGAACTGCTTGAGCAATTTAAAAGCTAATAATAGAATCTTGTTACATCCCACCAAATCCACAACCATTTGCACCTACAAAGCGTTGTTAGGTCCATATTTTCACAACAACTAAGGCTGTTTTGATCTGCAAACTACAATGGCTTCCACATACCAAAAAGGTAAGGACAAGATCTTTACCTTCTAGCACCTTCTGCAGAGCAGCACTTCAGCTGAGACTAGAGAAGTCCTGCAAGGTCATAGGAGAGTAGAGAAACAGGCTAAATTGTCCTGCTTATGCAGAAGAAATAAAACAGAGTGACTGAGAAAATACAGGAAGAGCTTACACCTTCTGACCAAATGGGGTCAGAAGACGAAGAATCCCTTCCTTCCTTCTTTCCAGCTAGAGACTCAACCAAATAGCAACAGTGAATTTTTTGTTTAACTAACCAGTTTATCTGAGTATGAATAGTTCTAAAATAAGTATTACAAAATAGGCAGAACTTTGAAAATGACAGAACCATTTTGTCTTTGGAATGGGAAGAAGTTTGGCCTTTCAGAGGTTAAATAAATGGTAGTAATAACTAGTATAACTGATTGCATCTTAGCAGCATTGCTAAAATCAGGTATTTTACTCTGATATTTAAACATTTTAAATTTTGATATTTATTGCACTATTACTGACCAGACTGAATGCCATTATAGTCTGATTTTCTAGCAGTACTCTTCTGTTCAATCTGTGTATGCAAACTGGCATGTTCTTGAAGGAGATGGATAGTGTGAGATGTCTCATTTACTGGCCAACATCTTCATCATAAGGGCAGAAAGTGGAAATTACTAAAACAAAAACAAAAACAAAACAAAACAAAAAAAAAAAAAACAGAAAAAAAATGAACACAAAAAACCCCAACGAGACTATTTCATGCCACACTTTATTATTTATTCCCTGTACTTTCTAATCTCTTCCAACATCTGCTCAACTATGCAGCCTGTCTGACAGCAGCTGGCAGACACAAAAGTAGGCTGGTCATTACATAGCCTTGTTATGTAGGGGGAAGTTCTGTTCTGTGATCTGTTCTTGGGGCACTTCTCTCTCCGTATTCCTCTCTCTCTGTATCATGTATTAAACATGATATGGTGCTCCTGAGATTTTGTTCCTATGAGCAATTTCTATTGACTGAATTATGGAAGACTGGTAGTACTCAGTCTATATCTACACCATCTGTATCTTTATTGAAGACATTGTATACATGTACATATAGAGCTTGTATGTGTCTGTATTGTTCAGGGATTGTGGTTTATCACTGATGAGTTCACAGTTCTTTGCAAACCATCACTCTGGAAAAAAGAAAGAGTGTGACGGGAAGAGGAGAGGAAAATCTGTAGTATAGTAGCTGCACCAGCTAAATAATTCAAGAGATTCTGGCACAGACCTGTCAGCAGACAAGGGTTACTGTGGAAGTGCACTGCAAGCAATTTAAACTTACTTAACAAAGATTTGTACATGTTTCTTTACAAAAGGCATTCTTACTTTTACGCTGAGATGATGTCCAGCTCTCCACTGTGAGTGGCGAGAGATCTTGTGCATTCAGTGACTTCATAAATCATTAATGTACTGAAAAATGTTTGCTAAGGAGTAAATCTCTTCAAAGAGGGATTACTGTTATCAACCAAAAGTTGAACATGACAGTCCCTAAAGAATTTTAACACCCTTCCTGTGAATTTGAACTGCAGATTGCAAACTGCTTCACTGTTTGCTCTTCAAACAAAATGGCAGATGGATAGTTAGCAGTCACAAACAATTGAAGCATGTGAAGTAAAATTACTGAATGACATTTAGGACCATGCTCTTGGTTAACGTAAGTTTATTAAAGCATAGAGGAGAAGATTTTTCAATGTTTTTCAACAAAAACATCTAATATTTATGAGCTCTGCTTAACTCATTGCACTTGTTCACATTGAATCTTGTGAGGTACAGGGAGTAAAGGCAGTTCCATGCCAGATTATCAAAAAGGTTATTTCCTTCTCTGTAAATTTATCAACAGAGCATGTTGGAAAAATAACTTACAGTAGCACGTAAATACTTTCATAGTAGTTACTAATAAATGGTATCACTGATCTAAACCTTCCAAAGCTAATTCCGAAAAATGATTAGTGCATCAATTCACTATAAGCACCACTATACTTGCCAAAAAACACACAGACATTTTTTTGTGACTTCCATGTTCAACAGCTTTCCAAAGGCTTCTATGTGAAAGTGTGAAAAGTGTGTTGTTTTACATGTACCTTACCTAGTGTATCAGGTGAAAACAAAGTGCTGCTACTAAATGAAATAACCACATGTACTGCATAAACTATGAAGTCACAGAGGAAAATGAGAAGGTAGCTTTATAGATAAAGTTACCAAGCACTGCAGGAGATAATTTACTGTCTATGACTTCCTATCCTAGCACATCCACATTCACTTGCTCATAAAAAACTACAGTGCATCACTGTTTCCTGCCATACAGACAAGCACGTGAGCATTATTAATCTCTTTGCAGTTCTTTGAGAAAATGCTGACTGTAAATAAAGGATGAAACTTTTTTTTTCCTACTTTATACTTTTTATATATCCCTTGACATTAGGTCAACAGCAGTGTGCCAAGTTACCTTCTGATGTCTGTTCTTCGTTGAGACTATTCTTATGTCTCAACTTCCCCCTTCCTTTGTGATGTTTAAATCTTGATCCACTCTCAAAATATTCAGATGTTACATTTGCATTTCCTGAACTATACTTTTGCTCATCATGCTTGTATATGGACAAAATAGGTGCAATCAAAATATGTAAACTTTAACAAAACAGAAATATTATCTCATCATGATAAATTGACAGATTCAACTAAAAAAGACTGAGCCAAACAGATCTTATGTAACATTATTATAGCACTCTCATAACAAATAGTCCTGTGCCACAGGGAACAATTTTCAAGAGTATACTATGACATACATAAAGAAACACCAAGCTTCAGATTAAGAATTTATACATAACTGAGAGGAAGATAATCTTATTGCTGTTGTGCAATTGAAGGCTATAATTTCTTTATGCCTAAGACATAATGTAGGTTATACAAAAACATAAACTATCATATATCCTGAATGGTTTATACTGGATATTATTCTCTTCACATAGAGATTTCCAGAACATAGGTCCTTCACAGATCTAAATTCCTAGCTTCACAGCTTCACAGCTTCATAGCTTCACAGATCTAAATTCCTAGAGTAACCTCTGCACATGTGAGCACACTGAAGTAGAGACAGCAGGAAATGGTTGACACACACTCACATTCTAGGAATGACTGCCATTTTTAGAATTTTCAGCTTCCTGATATCTGTAATGATTCACTTATCTGCATCTAAACCCTGACTAAATAGAGAACTGATGAAATAAATATGTCCTTTGATCTTGAAAAATAGACACTGACAGGAAACCTCGTGGCAACCTCGCTACCAGATACGTTCTGGTGAACTGCAGAGCAAAGTGTCATGCAGCTCACCCTTGCAGGTGTTGCAGTGCTACTCACCAGACACAGCTGCTGTGGCACCATGTTCTCATCTGACTTCCCTGCTTCTCCCTTCTTCTTTCACATTTCATTGTGCAGGACATTTTGCATACATCCTACAAAAAAACATTTGTTTAAGCTGGTGAGAAATAGGGTAACAGGAATTCTAATAACTGCCTACAACTCTTTAAAATAGATTTATGAAGACATCAGAGCCAAACTCTCCTTCACACTGCTAGCAAAGGCAATGACAATGACAACAAATGGCAGCACTGAGGATTCAGATTGGATATTAGGAAAACTGCTTTACCAGAAGGGTAATACAGCACTGTAATGGGCCAAGAGAGAGGAGGCAGTGGGATTTCCATCCTTGGAGGATTTAAATAACTAGACAGTCTTACCTTTCTTTTCAAACCAACATTTTTCAGACTCTATCGTTCTTCAGATGTAAGTAAATCTCAGATCACCATGAAAATTAAATGTGCTACAGTAAGAACTGTATCAGGTCAATGGAAATAATTATAACCACTGTCTTCAAACATTCACAGAATTCATCACAGACAGACTGGTAAAGCTTCATAAGAAAACTGGATGGCAGGTAGGTGCAAAGTCCACTTCATAAGTAAGAAGTGCTGTGATCAACAAAGCTTTATAAAAAGGGTAAATCTAACAAAATCTGTGCAGTCTTAAGCCAAGAGAATAGTTCACAAAAAAAAAAAAAAAAGTGCCCTTTTACCAAGCTTTTAAGTTTCAGAACAGGTTCAAGAAATGACCTTGACCCATTTGGTAATTCTACTGGCTAAGCACATCCAGTGAGCTACAAAACCCATGTGGAGATGTTTACTCCTGTTATTCCTTTCCTGAAGAAACAATTAGGATTTTATCTGCTATTAATTGTTCTGGAATATGCATCCACAGAGGAGCTTTGTGCAGGAGCAAAATTGAGATACAGAGTCTCTCCATTACTAAAAGAGAAAGAACTGCAAGGCTAGATGTTATTGAGCATACGCTTTTCCACACAGAGGATTGTAAATACTGCCCTACGTGATGTTTTAACCACAGAGAAAAGAAAACAACACAGTCTAGATGGAATTCTTAAAAGGAAGAGAGCTGAAGCTGTTGTGGTTTTCAGAAAGCAGCCCAGCCTGGGCACTCTGGCCACATCTCTTTCAATCTGAGCAGCCCACATGCAGCCAGCAAGACATATGTTTCCTTACAATTGCCAGGAATGCAAAGCAATACTAGACAAGTCTAGACTGATCTTGGGCTAAATGCAAGAAGTAAAGCAGTGGATCCAACTGCGTGGTGGATGACATTTGCCTGGCAAGGGAACAGTTGCAAGTACTCAAGCCCTAGAATGGGGTGGGTGGGAAGGAGGGAGGGAAGAAGAAACAGCTTTCCCAGAAGTGCTTTTGGTTCCAGTGGAGAACTCACTTCCAGAGAAGAATTCACTTCCCATCAAGGAGAAATTCAGCTTAGCTGAATTTGTTCTCGTCTCTGTTAGACAAATACTCCCCATTTCTCAACAAAAGTATGTGTAGATCGCATTGAAAAGCGGGGTCCTGAACACAGCTACTGTACAAGTCATCTACATTAATCTCACTCAACATTTTCTGTTTCTGCTAAATACAGCAGATTATGCCCTGCACTGTCACTCTCACCTCCTTTTTCAGGCATTTTCCTGATGCCCCTTCAGTTACCACTTATTTGCACAAATGCCACACTTATTTCACTTATTTGCACAAACCCCACACTTTTTCTTATCTTACTTCCTGATCATCATAATGATACTACCTCTTATAAATTACAGTTTTAATGGCTTTTACTTAAAATTTACAGTGCTACTCCTACCTTCAACAAAGTCCTGCTCCTTGATCTAAATCCTGCTACTGTCCCATTCACTCCTGCTGATTGCTGTTCAGATTGCCCAGCTAAATGAACACCTGTCATGAAAGGCAGATGTCAGCTATAGGCTGATGGCCAGTCTGGAGGAACACAATTAGATTTCCCTTTGAATTGCATGTATGTGTTTCCTTCCAGTGGAAACAGGGAGTGTCAGAGGGAAAGAGGAGGAGGGCTTACGCACAGCCACTTCTTCAAGCAATGCAGGCAGACCTTTCCAATTAGTAATTTCCTCCTCAGCTTCAAACCTTCTTCCACTAGTCTGTATTTAAATTAATCAGTATCTCTTGCCCATATCTTTTATCTGAAACTGATTTTTACAGCTTGCTCCTGCACTGTAACATTTGCTACCTTCCCAAAGTTTATTTAAAATTAGAATGCATATATAGGCCTCAGTTATTACAATACAGCTTTGCCTGCTGTATTGGGGGAATTTTTCTTTTTTTTTTTTTTTGTATTTGCACCGGTATGATTGCATCTTAGCATTGGCAAGTGCCTACATTTAAAACACAGGAGTCAAGTCACAATGCATTTTAAAACTGGCTTAAAAAATGACAGCTTTTAAAAATGAATTTGGGCCTTCTTTTATATGACAAACATATTTTTGTCTTTTTTTTAATTGGATATGAGGGTAAAAGGCTTTCTCATATTCCTATGATTGTCTTTGAGAAAACATTAAATGCCTTGAGACTCCTAATAATGTTGCAAGAGTTACAACACGCCGCCGTCTCCCGATACCCTTATGCACCGTTTATGTAGTAGAAGATAAAATGTGAAATTTGCAAGATTTGTTAATACCTTTAATTTATGCTTTCTATTAGAGTTGCCTGTAGCTCACTAAAAACTATGGCGATTATTAATGGCAGGGCTCATGCTGCGTCCATTTAGTATTAATTCTTGCAATCACTACGAAAATAAATTCCACTCTGTGAAATGTGTTAAAAGCGCACAGGTTCAAATCCTGCCTGTGGCAACATCCAATTAAGACAATGAGATTTAGAAATGTGTATCTGAGGTCAGAACCTGTTTCACTGCTGAATGCTCACACAAGGAGTTAAGGGCTTATTGCACTGACTTCAGTGAGTTAAGACCTGTAGAAGCTGTTTTCTCCCTTCTCTGTAATGCCTTTATTTTGAGATTTAACAAAGTGGTCATTAAAATACTGAAACTTACATCAGACTTAAGTAGGCACAATATTCTGATGGAGACATGCTATAATAATAAACAAGGATAATGAATTTCCGCATGGACTCTGTGGAGTGTGTTAGTCCTCAGTCAACATATTAACCCAAAATTCTTTTCAGATGATCAGGTTCCTGGACTGGAATTTTGTTGTTCAGATATTTGGAAATGTGTATATGTATGTGTGCACCAATTTATAGGGGAAGCAGTATGTTTGCACAGCAGACTTGCCATTCAAGTGAGAAAGCTGCAGGAATGCTATAGTTTGCTGCATGGGCCTGTCAGCAGAACTGTCTTGGAGGCAAGTCAGAGTTGAAAGCTGTGTATTTACAGGTATGTTTTAAGCAGATTCATACAGAAAGATAGCACTGTGAGGAGTGGAGCTGTTTGTCACATCTTTTGCTGTGAATGGATTAAGTCTCCTCATGTGTCTGGACTTTACTAAGAAATGAAAATGCTAAGTAGATTATTTCACTTTACAGTTCAGATGAAGAAATCATTTATTCATTTCTTACATTCTAAACTTTTCATATTACTTGAAATGTGCGGAGAGTAATCAGTTCTTTTCAGGAGCAAACAGGCATGTTTTCTAGTTCACTCTTAAGGACTTCTGAGTGGTTCGAGGCTTGTGTTGTTTTGGGTGACAAGGTCAGTAACCAACTGACGAAATAGATCCTTTATCTAAGCAGTACAAGTGGCTACTTTTCAAAATAGTTTTTTATTGTGGACACTTTGACCTTGTTTTGAATTTTGTTTGCCCAATCACATCCTGGTCTTACCATTAACCACACACTTCTACAGATTTCAAACAATGGCAAGTTTTCTCTGGCCAAGTCCTTATTACCTCTCTTGTTAATAACAAGATCTAGGCTACAGTTTTCATCTCTCCAGCATAGTGACTGGTTAGAATTTGTTTTCTTCTGCATTTGATTTGTAAAGCTAATATGTTTAGACGGTTGGGTTGCTATTGTGATTGTTTTGGCAGGATTGAAAGCAATGTACAGATTTATTTGTAATGTATGAAGTCCTTGACGTGCTGTACGGCACTTCAGAGACTCCACAATTTATTTTTTGTTGCGGCTTGTCTTTAGTCCTTGCCAATTTCTTTCCTTTCCTTTTCCAAACAAAGCTAGGGCTGACAAATCCTAACATTACAGAATTTTAATAGCTAGATCCAATTACTGAGCTCATTTTGTAATTTACCATAGTCCTTACAACTTTAGACCCAGAAAGGCTCTGCGAATGGGCTTGAGAAAGGTGACACTGTAGCCAACAGCTATAGAAACCAAAATGTCCTCCGGCCTTAAAGGCTCCTGGAATCAGTGCTTTTGTCACCATTATCCATAACCATTTTCTGAAATACTGCTTTCAAAATGTTCTTTTAATGAAATCACATAGCTTTGTCTGATCCAGTAATAACATTTCCAGGGGCCGCAACAGTTTGCTTTGGCTAGTTTTTGTCAGAATTTTTATTGGTTTCCTTAAAGTAATTACAACGTTAATACAAAAAGAGCATTTTTCAAGAGAACACACAAGAGTGGGGATGAAAAGGAAGGGTGAGCTTTTCCTTTTCATTTAAATCCTCTTGACTGATTTGCAGGTTCTGCAGATCAGCTTGGGAAACAAAAGGAAACTTGGAATTAATATATACCATACATGTTTGCTGCATTAACAATGGAACAGAGCTCTGTAATATGCTGTGCTGTTTATGTCCAAGACTTCCACTCTTTTCAGTGAAGCCTTGTTGTAGCTACCTAAAGGCTTTCATTTATTTTCTGGCTCTTTTTTTTTTTTTGTGATGGAGGGACTCACACATCATTTGGTTCAGAGGGTGACAGCAAAATAAGTGGCAGTTGTAGAAGTGTATTAATTGATATTAATTAAGGAGGGGAATAAGAATTTTTTTTCACATTTCTCAAGATTTCCTAAGTTTTTCAGAACTTCTTCCAACAGCCCTGTTCTAAACTCAGCAAGCCTAAACATGGACTTCAGCTCTCAAGAAGTCAGAGATTGCTGGGAAGCTGCAGCTCTTACTTAATCTCGTTACGATTCTGCAAGAGGGTGGTGAAAACATTCCTAAGGCTGGAGTAGGTAGGAGTATGTGTTTACTAAAGACACACCAAGGATTGTAAAGGTGTGAGACCCTTCTTACAGGTATACCAGCGCTCTAAGGGACGAAAGCAAAAAGCCTCCTTGCTCTTACAGTGTTGAAGGAGAAGGGGTGAGGGCAGAGCTAAGAGAACCCAGGTGTGCCTCAGTGGGTAGTAAAGGGCTAATGAAATCAGCATGATGATGTTCTGTGTCTGGCACCTCACTCTCTGTGGCCTTTTAAGAACCTTGAGAGAGGAGAAGCTTGTTTTCTTATTTTCTCATTGTTTTGTTAATTTCTTCCTTCACAGAGTTAGTTGCCCAATGATGGAAGCATTCTACAGCATATTTCCCAAGGTAGAAGAAATCATTCCTCTGGATTTTGAGCATTAGAAGAATGTGATTTTGCTCCAAAAAGCAAAATAAAAGAGTTTACAGTAAATCAACTGCTATTTCTATCTCTATTCCTTACACTGTGTGCATCATGTGATAAGGTGTGGATACTTCCCAAGCAAACAATTTAGGTTTCTCAGCTCCAGATTGCCAAACTTTCCAATGCTGAGCAATCATGGCTATGACTCACATTACATTTGAACTCTCCAGACCCTATTTTACAAAATTTTCGGTAAGGATTTTTAACTTTAAATAAAGAAAAACAACAGAGGTGTCTCAGTACTTCTGCAAAGCTTTTATGCTTGTCAGAACTTACATTAAGAAAAGGTAATAACCAGCAATGGAAGGATTAAAGATGCTCCATAGAAAGCTCTGTGAATGGCAGCACTATGTAGAGCAGGCAACATTTACTGTTCCCATAAGTCCTAGACAAAGAATTACAGAGGATTTTTTTTTTTTTTTTTAAGTGGACACATTTGTAGATCGATCTTTCAGATACCTAAAGCTGCATGGTTCTTTTTTCCATATTACTGTACCTGAAATACACATGAGATTTCTTCTGCCTGTGCTCTCTTAAGAACGTTTTCAAGTTCATTCTACAGCTCCCCCAACTACTGCCTCTTCATGTGAAACACAGAAGTAGTGAGTTCATTCTCAAACACTTCTATTTTTCCTGCAAGGACTTAATGACTTGGAGGTAATTCATCATCTGCTCTGTTGGGAAACAGAAACAAAGAGAAAACTAGCAACCTACACTCTAATTTTGAGATAATTACTCCTAAAAAAATAAAAGAGGAAAAATTGCAATGAAGTGCTTATTCTCTCGCTCACTGATATACAATAAGAACCACAAAAACAAATTGGCTGTAGCTGTGTATGCAAATAAACAAATAAAGATAAAAATAAAATTATTACTATTCCATTTCTTTCTCTATCTTAGAAATTAATGAAAGTAACACTTATGTCACAGTCTCATTTTATCTATTTGCAGTCATCCTCTAGCTTTTTCACATCAAAATTTCAACATTCAGTACATAAATATTTACCAGTAAGGCCAATGTTTTACCCTGAATTTATGTTATATAGACTCATGATGGTCAGGTCATGATGGCCTGCACTTCAAGACCCTGTTCCAAAAGCTTCTCAATTATGAAAGTGAACTATATACATTGGGAAAAAGGCTTCTCTCAAAATACAGGTAAATTGTGTCCAATGCTGATGGTACAGCAGCTGGTAGTGAGAAGTGGGAGAGATACACCTGCTCATTTACAAATCCCATCTGGTTTTAAAGATGCAGTCTAGGATATGACAAGACAAGCAGGAAGAACTGACATGGAATGATTGTCTTGTGCTTTCTCAGTACGAATTCTACTGTTTTGTTTTTTTCTCAGAAGTGTATCTTTCCAGGTAAGCTTGCCAAGGGAGAAGGAGGCCTTCCACCTTTTCCTCCACAGTACCATCCTTCACGCAAGGGAGCCAAGAATCAGAAAAAAGGTCAACAGCATTTTTCGGACACACAGCATTATCTAAAAAAAGAACTCAAAGCTCATCAATCCAACATTAAGCCTGAAGAATAGAACCTGAAGAAAAGAATAATTTGTTTCCATTTAAAGCCTGGAGTGTTCTGGCACTGTGTTGATATTGCTTTAAAAATATTTATTCTTAGCTTCTAGCTAAGAATGAACTATGGATGACAACTATACAACAATTAAAAAAAACAGGTAAGAGAAATTAAGGAAGAAGAAGAACTGAGACTATTTTTACCACTAAATATTGCTCTGTTTTCTTATAGGAACAGTATTATACACTTAACAGCAGGCAGTGCTTTTAATGCAGTACATGATGAAGTAGAACAGTCACTTTTCCTCTTTTTAGTCACTTAAGTTGTAAGAAACAACATCTTTTGTTTAAAAATCAAGTACTTTGGTTAATACCACAATTCCACTGGCAAACCTGAGGGGAATATTTGGAATGATTTCAACTCTAATGCTTTGGTCAGGTGCTTGCGCTCCCAGTGCTCAGCCTGACATATTTCCTTCCCAAAATCCCTGCGCATATGCAAGCAGTGCCACATCTTCCACTGCCACTCTCAAATTTCTCCCTTTGCTCCTTCAGAGCTATGAGCATCCCTCTTATAACCACTTGGTGTTCCAAATCCTGTCTTAACTACAAGGCAAGTTGGAAGAACAAAAGGAAGCAGTCACTAGAGCACTTTGCCAATCTCTCTTACCCAGAACTTGGAATTTATTTGCTAGTAGAAATCCAAAGTTTTACAGATGGGACTGTTTATGACACTGGATGGTCATATTTGTGATTCTGAAGTGATTAATGAACACTTTTCTTTTTTCTTTTTTTTTTTTTTTATGTTTGTAGTTGTAACAGAGTTAAAGCTAATTTCAGACTGAAAATGAGACACCCAGAGTGATTTCTATGTCAGAGAATGTCATCTTCTCAGTTGAATTGCCCGTATTGATTGAAGCTGATGGAATTTAGACTGCTGAAGCAATCTTTTCACCACATGGCTGTAATTCTGCTTTTTAGCAGTGCATGAGCTTGCTGACAGCAGCGCGTGGCCACCAGTGCTGCCCTTCAGAGGGGCTGAAATGCAGGTCGTGCTGTTAGCTTTTGGTTAGGCACTAACTGGGCTTTGCTCTGCAGAACAGCAGCTGTTTGTGCAAAGACTTTAAGAGCCAACCTTAAGCAGTGGTAAGAACTGATTGTGATCAGCACATGGGATCTCTCAGCAATCTGAGCAAGCGTAGAGGCTCTAAAAAATCTGCAAGGCAACCAAAAGTTGTCTTCTTTGTGACTGAAAGCAGCATCGCCTACCTGTGAGTAGTCATTATTTGGTCTATTCTGTCATGTAATTTGCGAAAGGCTGGGAACGGACACGTGTCAGGACCGACTCACTAGCGGTGATGGCGCTGACCAGATCTCCTCAGAGCTCGTGAGGTGTGCGGTCACCAACGGGATGCGCGGAGATGGCTTCCTAAACCCTGCCTCAGCTCTCCTTATTCAAGTTTGTTTTTGTTTTCCGTGAATGAAAAAAGACAAGAATTTTGCGGGCTCCCCTTCAGCGGAGCTACGGTCTCTATGAAGGAGGCTCTGCCTCAATGCGGCTCTCGCTCCACAGCCGCTGGCGGGACGCGGAGCTCCTCGTACCGTTGCCCTCCCCGGACGGAGAATGGGCGGTTCCTCACAGAGCCGCCGCTCTCACCGAGGTGCCTCAACCCGCAGGGCCGCACTCACGGGACTGCTGCGGCCGCGGGGCGGAGTGGAAGCGGGCGGGGAAAAGTTTCTCCCGTGCTCGCCCCGTCCCTCCCTCTACACACACACATACACACACGCACCTCTGCCTCCGCAGGCGGATGAGGGGCACTTTTGAAAATTATTTTCTTTCCACACCCAGCCTTCGTCTGACATCACTTCTGCAGGAGGGCGGGAGCAGCCCCGCCGCCAGACGGTCGCGGAGAGCTCCGCCGGCCCCCGCGCACCGTGAGTACCGCGGCCGGTGGGGGTAGGGGGGTGCGCGGGGCTGTGCGGGGGGGGGGGGCGGCGGCCGTGCCGGCGAGGGGATGGAGAAACCGAAAAAAAGAAAGAAGGAAAGAAAGAAAAAAAGTAAAATTTATATGTATATCAAAAAGTTGAGGGGGTTTTGTTTACTACCACCCGGGCCCGGCTGTCGCCGCTTGCAGTGCCGGCTGTGAGCAGCCGCCGCCCCGCTCCGCTCCTCGATTTGGGCGCGCGGCCCCAGCGGCGCTGGGGGAGCGGGCAGCCACGATGTCTCGAGCCGCCCCGTGCTGAGTTCGCCCTCTCCTCAGGGTCCTTTCTTCTTTCTTTCTTTCTTTTTCCCCCTCGTTTTTCTTTTTTCTTTTTTTCTTTGTTGATGTTATTTGAGTGGAGTTTGCGTGTACTACAGTAACTCTTGATTGTTTTTGGCAGCCGAACCCCCCCTAGTGGAAGAACTTTTATATATAACGCGGCGCAGACTTCGCTTTGTGAAGTTTCGTTTTTTTTTGCCAGCGTTAGGTTTTTGGTTTTTTTTTTTTTTCCACTTGAGTCAAACTATGGTTTCAAAAACCCGCTCCGACGTTCTCAGAGGGGCCGTTGGTGGCTGCCGAGCCCCGTGGCACCGGGAGGGCGGTGTTGGCAGCCTGGAGCTCGGTGCCTGCTCCGGGCAGGCGGCTTTCAGCAAGGCGGGTTGCTCTCATTACGCAGTTGTGGAGGTCAGCTCCTTGTTTGGACATCTTCAGGAAGAGCTCCCACTGCCTCCTTGCCTCAGCTCGCTTCCCCGGCGCTGCTTACAGCCTGCTGCCACCGAGAAACCCGCAGCTCAGCCTCCTCGTTAAGCTCTTGGCAGCTTAACTTGTTCACATGGTGCTGGATTATTATTTTTTTGTATATATATCATTTTTTCCCCCGGGAATACTTCGTAAATGATGAATGATTGTTGCAGTTGAACATCTTAGAAGTATCTGACTTCATTACAGGTGTGTGGAGAAACTCTTGAGAATAGCTGTTCACTTAGGCACGTTTTCACGGAGTTCTGTAGGAGCTTTGAAAAGAAACAGCTAGGGTTGGCTGGTCTCCATCAAAAAGAAAAAAAAACACTTTCTTTTCCTTTACTTTCAGACTCCATACATACAAGGTTTGTGCGTTAGCTATGTAACATAAGCCTTCTTTCCTGCCGAGCAGATACTTTTTCTGTCAAATGAAGTGCTAAGTTGTGATTCTTCTGTCTGCTCTCTTGCTTTGATTTTGAAGGCTTTGCTCCCCAGAAAAGCCCTGCTGGCAGTGGGATGGCAGGTGGCTGCAGGTGGGCAGGCAGCAGCAGTGCCTGCGTGTGATGGGTGCCTGGGCATGGACTTTATAAAGGCATTAAGCTGTGTTGCTGTCCTCTGCACTCGTTTGTGAACTTGTAAAATAGATCTGTAGAATGGGTACCTGGAAGAAGATTGATTCTTCATGCTGAATACAGTTGTGCATAGTTTGTCTCGTGTCAACTGCATGGCTGACATGGATTTACCAAGTCAGCTGCATACCCTGCTAGGTTTATTCTGATGAAACTAGGAATTATTCTGCCAGCCGGGGAGTCACCAACATTAACTCAAAGTGAAATACAATTATATCATGAGATCTGTAGCAAGATGACCGGTTTCTTGTTAGCATACTTGTTTGGGAAGGAAAACAGTCTGTTGGTATAATTTAAAATAAAAACAACATAATACCAGTAGACAAGACACTGCTGGTGGTGTATTCTTTATTTGTGGTCTCTGGAAGGACTTCTGTTGTAAGCACCCAAACAGTGTTGATTATGCTGTGGATCTGCCAGAGAGGAAAGGCACTGTATTCTATTTGCTTACACAGATTTAAAGCTCTTGCTAATAATGGAAATTGTTCAACAGACAGAGCCAGTCAAGGTTGGAGGCTCTCAGATGAGTTCTACTGCAATTCTCAAATGCTGTAGTTACTCCTTCTGGCAAACACAGCTTAAATGAAATCAACATCACCAGCTTCATCTATTACCCACTGCTGGTTAATGTTGCTTCATGACTTATTAGCATCTCTTGCTTCACAGTTGTTTTGTGTCTTTCTCTTCCATTTTCATGACTTTTCTTTTATGGTGTTATTTATTTCAGGGTTGTTTCCCATCTTGGGCTTGAAATTCTTAGAATGATCAGAAGAATGTTGTACTGAGGAGTCCCATTCGGATATTTAGAAGTGAAGGCCTTCCTCAGTTTTTGCTAATTATATCAGTTGTAGTTTGTCTCTTCTTACTGCTGTTTGCCAGTCCATTTAGAAATGAGGTGTTAGGCAGCACAAGGGGCTTCTTTTCACTTTAGTACTTTGTATATATTCTGATTTTCCAGTAAGACTTCATGTTCTGTTTCTGCCTTGAATGACACCACCCCATAAATCACTACAAGAATGCTTTTAGTTAAAGAGATAAGTAGGTCTCTGGGGACAAGACCACTTGTATTGCTAGCCAGCAGAAGATGCACTTTCCGGGTCCTGCTGCCATGTTCCTGTTGGAAGAAGACCTGGCAGAATAAGGCACTGTGTTATTCAAGAACTGATAAGAAAGGGATTTATCCTGCAGTGTACCAAACACTTCGTGTATAAAATTCACTCAATACTTGAAAGCAGACAAATGTGAAAGGAGAAAGGAACACACTTACTGAAATCACATTGGTTTCAGAGGGAAAATGGGGGGAGCATAAGCCACAGCGGTGAGGAATTCCATTCGTGGAGCTGTTCAGCATTTGTTAGGTTTTGTTTGTTTTTTTTTTTTTTTGGATGCTCAAAACAAACTAAAGATTGTTGTGATGTGGGCTCTGTATTCACTATCCTTGTTGAAAGCATTACTATTTTAGAGAGGAGATAATTTCGTAGGACGTATCTCAGTACATCAGGTAGTGTTCATGACTTCATCAGGAAGATAAGCATCTCAGTTTTCAGAAAATAGATCTTGCTGGGTGGGATTCAAGAGAAAGCCTGATGGTTTGAATTCATCCATCAAAGGAATTCTTGTTTCTTCACCAAATGGGGAAAATGTAATTACACCTTTTTATTTTGTCTATGAAGTTTCATGGGCAAGTTTAATGATGGTATGCGTATGCCAAATGAAGCCTCATAATTTGGGTGTGACCTCAAAATACAGCCCTCTGGCTGTGGAGAGATATTCAAAGGAGACTTTAGGTTGGGCAGAAAGTGGGCTGACTCAGGCACACCTTAGAGATGGCTATGGGACATACATTTATGGGTGACTTCTCCAATTCTTAAACATGACACGGTGTCTGGAATGACACAAAGTGTGTGTAATGGAGGTGCTAAGTGGCACATGAAATTCACGCCCTTCTTTCAGGCAGAAAGGGACCTTCCAAGTACCCAGATATCCCTGTTGAGATGTGTGTGCTGCTGCTGAGCTCTTCAGTCAGTTTACAGACTCCCTTGGTCTCTAGGGCTGACAGTTCTCAATGCACGGGAGCAACAAATCAGCAGTGTAATTCAAACACAAAAACAAACCGTAGTCTGGAGACTGCAGGAAGAGCCTAAAGCAGGCCTAAAGAGAATGAGCCTGCCCATTTTATCGTGTGCTAGCATGCTCGATGGGGCCTTTACTTGGCAGGTCAGCCTGTGGTGAAGCAGGCCCTGTATAGGCAGCCAGTTTGGCCAAGGAGGGGCTGTGGGGCAGAACAAGGCTGACGCAGGCAGGAGCTGGCTGGGCTCGGTTGCCACAGAGCAGCCAGAATACAAAAAAGCAGCCGACTGGTGCATGAAACTCTACAGTGAAGAGGTGCTAGAAAAATGCTGCTACCTGAGCTGGGAAAGTTCATTTGGCAATCTTCAAGCTTTACTTTCAGTTGCGCTGGTTGCAAATTAGAATGTAAAAGCAGCCTTCAGAAAGTTGATTACTTGGTTGAGTATTAAGACCAGTTAAATGCTACCATGTTGCTGTGAAACAAAATAGTAGTAATAGAGGAAGAATTTGCTCTTTTCATGTTATAGCCTAGTGCTCTACAGTCAATAGGGATATATCTCCTGATAGATGATGTGCAAACTCTGAAATAACTACAACTAAAATTTCTCAATACAGAGCAAGTCATCACCAAATCAAAACAAGCAGTTTGAAAATTTTACGACAGTGAATATAACACATTTAATTGCTAGCAATTTCCATAGAGCATCTGCCAAAGTTAAAACAATATCAGCTTTCGTTTCTACTGAATTAAATGAATCGCTTTCAATCTGGAAAGACAGACTTTTTCTGCCTTTGTTTGTTGGTTAATTAGGTGGAACAACATAAATCACTCAAGCTGTTCTGTTGTATCTGGATTAATCTTTGGATAAGCAGGAGCCTGTAACCAGTGAAACCCAGGTTCTGAGATTTGCTTGCAGAGTTCTATTATTGTCTAGAATTAATGCTGCAGGTGCCTTTTGTTTTTTGTTCTTTTTGCTCTTTATTGGATCAGACCGATGACACATTTAAACTGTGGACCTGATGAGAAGGTCTCATGTTACACTTGGTGTATGCCTCCTTGCCCCAGCAGGTACTGAGTGGGGACAGCCTCGGTGCCAGAACATGGCCGCGTGGTGATGGAGTGCGGGTGAGGTCAGGCCACACCTTGGCTCAGTGATTTGCTGCAGGATTGGGTTCCCAGGCACGTCTTACAGCTGGCAAAGCGTTACTGGTGCTCCCGTGTCGTTGCCTGGCTCCATGAGGTCACCCACTCACTGGGGCTGG